TGAAGTCTATGTTAACCAGCTTGATGCAAGTATTTCAAATTGTATATGAAAACACTACACTATACCCCGTGTTTGCATTAATGTATACAGCTATCATTTAATAAAAAAAACAAAAGTAAAAAAAAAAAAGAAAAACTCCTGCTGAAATTTAACTGTCAGTGGAACAGCATCTGGATGGGGGCCTAGCAGGAGGTGGTGGGCCTGGAGGAATAGATGAATGCCCTCCTACAGAGTGAGTGCTCAGTCTCCAAGGAATGGATTGTTCTCTAGAGCAAGTTGTTAGAAAGTGGGGTTTCTTTTTTGCATAGAAGCCTGCTGGTTTGCCTTCCATCCCCACCACCTCTGGATGCAGAAGCCACACCATGTCCCTGAACTTTTCAGCCACCAGAATCATGAGCATCATTTCCCTATAGACCCTCCAGCCTCAGACCATTGCAGCATCTCTGAGGGGCTAAGGCGCACTGCTAGAGGATTGGCCTTTCCGGGGTGGGGCGCTGTTGGCTGATGCAGAATCTCTAGTTCCTAGACAGTGGCAGGCATTAGTAAGTGCTCAGTAAATATTTTTGGAATATTTTTGGATCCCCTTAGTTAGTTTAACTGGGTTTCTACACATCAATTACGAAATTATTGTCACTGTGAAAAATCATCAACAGACTGAAAACAGCTGAAGGTGGTGAGACTTACCAGATCCTTTAGAGATAACCACCTGGTCATGTTACTGTGAGACCCAGGTAAGACGATCTATGTGGGCGAGTTAGTTCTGGCTGCTGGGACAGAACACCACAGACTGGCAGCTTCAGCAACAGACATTCATTTCACACGGTTCTGGGGCTGGGATCTGAGATGGGGGTTCCTGGTGTGCGTCCTACTGCTGGTTTCAGAGTGCTGACTTCTCATTGTCTCCTCAGAGATCAGGGAGCATTGCCTTTTGTTTGTTTGTTTTTGTAATTAATTATTTTTTATTAAATCATAACTTTGTACATTGATGCATTTATGGGGTTCAGGGTTCTGCTTCAATATACAATGTGAAATGTTTACATTGAATCAAGTGGAGCATTGCCTTTTTCTTCTTTTTAAGACACTGATTCTATTCATGAGGGCTCCACCCTCAACCTCATCACTTTCCCAAGGCTCCAGCTCCTAATGCCATCACCTTTGGGGCGAGGATTTGAACATACGAATTTCAGGGGAACGCAAACATTCAATCCCTAAAGTCGGTGTTTCATTGGGCAAGGATTGTCCTCAGGCAATCCTATCAAAATCACAAAGGGAGGTTACAGAAAATGTCCTGCCACTAGGACTGAACCTGCTATGAATCAGGTGGCCCACAAGGGCAGCAGTAGGAGTCAATTTTCTAAATATTCCTCCTTACTGTAGGTCTCAGGGGCATTCTCTTAGTAGAAGACAATGAACACACAAACTGAGTTAAGGGCTTAACTCAAATACAGATGGGAAGTTCAAATATTAAAAAAAAAGAACTGTAGCTTCAGGTACATGTCTAATTTTCAACTTCATAAATAAAAGCTTTGGCAGAAAGTAGGTAATTTAATTACTGTTACATTTAGAGAGGAAGCTAAAGAAAACACACTTTCAGAGGGCTTCCAATTCAGTGTAATGAGATACTCTTCCTTCTCTCGGGTGCATAATTCCCAGTGTCAAAGTGCAGCTCCCCTCCTCAGCACCCCAAGCCCCTCTGGCTGCGACTCCAGAATTGCTCCCGTCCTGCAGGGCTCCCTGAGGTGCCCACCCTGACCTTGTCTTGAGAGCTCTGTGTGGCATCAGGTGCACCTTTACAAATAGGATTTATTCACTTCTCTTGGAAGGTCATGGCTGGATAAAATGTCAAGGATGGTTAAGCCCTAAAATTATGTGGTGCAATAATTTTCCCCATAGCGCCCTGGGACTACATGTAAACCAGGAGGTCCCCCGGCTCCTTTATAAGCCCCTCTTGTTTTCAGCAAATCTGGGGTTGGTGTTAATAGGACAAAAACTGTGCTGAACTTTGAGGGATTATATATATATATGTGTATATATATATATTCTGAAGAGTATTTTAATCAGATTGATTTTATATCCTTAGATGTACACAGAGTTGAGAGTTAGGCTGAACGTTCCCACGAGATACAGGTAATGGCCCAAGCCTCGACCCAGCCTGTAAGAGGAAGGCCTGCAGAGGCTTCTTGGATGATAGCTGGTTCAGTCTTTGAGAAATTACCCACCACCCCACCTATTTTGGGAGGCAAATCTCCACGGGGCTCTTGGATTTCTGCATGGAGCCACCTGCTGCCTTGGTTCTGGCCTTCTTTAAGGACGTTTGTCTGGAGGACATCCTGGGATGACAGAGGCTGTGGCCTTCCTTGGGGCAAAGGGCAGGCTGTTTCCTGTCCAGTGTGACAAAGACACTTCCAGGGAAAATGGCCAGTGGATTTCCTAAACTGAGATCTCCATCTATAGTGGAAATTCAGTATGTGTAACCTGTCCACATGACCATTCTTCAGCTCTCCCGTAAGACTTGAAGAGCCACGGGGACCACGTGTGCACAGAGCTCATGCTGTGTGCTGGGTGGTCCATGTCTTCATCAGTATCCAGGAGACTGTGGGAGGGAAACTCATTAGGCTGCAGGAAGGGCGAAGCTGCAGAAACTCACTCCACAGCCCTGGACACCTTGTCATCCCCAACCCGAAACACATACAGGTTGACAGGTATAAGTGGATCTGTGCTCAGCTGTATGTAATGTGGTAGGTAGGCTAAGACCCACCCACAAATGCCAATGTCCTAATTCCTGGAACCTGTGTGTGGGGGCGGGGGGGGGGGGACTCAAGGTTGCAGGTCGAATTCAGGCTGCCAATCAGCAGATCTCAAAATAGGGAGGGTGTCTGGGCTGCCCTGACCGGCTAGTGGAAACACAGGGCTTGAGAGTGAAGAAGAGGCGGGTGAGGGCACAGTAAGGATGTGACTGGGAGGAAGGCCACCTGCTCTTTCTCACTTTGGAGGAGGAAGGGGCCGTGAGGTGTGGGATGCAGGCGTTCCCTCGACGCTGGAGCAGGAAAGGGCCTCCTCCCCGCAGCCTCCAGAGCTGGTGACACCTTTGTTTTAGTTCAGTGAGCCCTGTCTTGGACTTCACAACTGTAAGATAATAAATTACATCGTTTCAGGCCACAGGTGTGTAGGATTTGCTATTGCAGCAATAGAAAATGATGTGGAGAGGGTGGAGATTTTTCTTTAACAGGAGGCAGGATTTTTGGAGCATGTATTGTTGGCTCTGGAACTCCCTTCCCTTCATAGCTTCCAGCTTCCTGCAGTGTCTCCCAGAACCCAGGAGGGCTCCCCCGCTGTGTGGGGGAGGGGGCAGCCCAGAAGCCATGGCATCGTACTACAGGAGCACAGGTGTGTGCGTGGGGTGTGTGTCTGTGCTGTTGCCGACATGTGCTGGTTAGGAGTTTACCAAACGGGATGAGGAAATTAGCTGGACAACTGAAGACCAACAGTGTAGATGTTTTACTTCTGTACTGAGAAAGGACAGGCATGTGGCAGGCTGGTGGAAGGCACAGGAAGCACAGTGAGGGTCGTCCTGGTAGCCACCTGTCAGTCACCTGCTCTGCTTCACAGCAGGGCTGTCCCTGCCTCCTGCCTGCATCCCCATCCGTCAGACAGCTGGGTCCTGCACTGGAGTGAACACATGCCACACACACACATGCTCAAACACTCAAACATGTGTTTATATTCAAATGTGCAGACACACGTTCTCATATGCACACTCATGTGCACACACATGCACAGACATGCATGCCTAAACTCAGGCACACATCATGAATACACACACGAACTCATACCTCTACACATATGCACACACGTGAATAAGCACACACATACATACAATGCTCATATGTAAACACACTCAAGAATATGCAGTGCACATACATACACACTTGTGAAAATAAATGCACACAGGAGCTCATCAGCACACACATGCACATCCGCATCCTCATATACACATCTATACCTGCACACACGCGTATCTACATCCTCACACACACACGTCCACACCCACACACATGCATGCCCCCCCACATGCATATGCACATCCTCACCCCTCATACACACATGTCCACACCCACCTGACACACATGTCCACAACTGCACACACACGTCTGCACCCGCACACACTCATGCCTGCACCCCTCCCACATATCCACACCTCCACACACTCATGTCCACACCCACACACATGCATATCCACACTTGCACACACTCATGTCCACATCTGTACACACTGTACACACTCATGTCCACACACACACACATATCCACACCAGCACATACTCATACCCTGCACCCCTCCCACATATCCACACCTGACACTCATGTCCACACCCACACATATCCACACTTGTACACACTCATGTCCACACCCACACACACACATTCACACCTGCACACACTCATGGCTGCACCCACCCACACACATGCATATGCACACCTGCACACACTCATGTCCACACCCACACATTCACACCTGCACACACTCATGGCTGCACACACACACGCATATGCACACCTGCACACACTCATGTCCACATCCACACACATATCCACACCTGCACACTCATGTCCACCGCCCACATATCCACACTTGTACACACTCATGTCCACACCCTCACACACACACACATTCACACCTGCACACACTCATGGCTGCACACCCACATGCATCTGCACACCTGCACACACTCATGTCCACACCCACACGCATATCCACACCTACACACACTCATGTCCGCACCCACACACATGCATATCCGCATACATAGGGCTCTCAATGTGGAGCCATTACAAAGCTGATTCACCTCCAAGTAAGGTGCTGCTGGACAGCAGTAAAGTCTACTGGAGACACTGGGCAGTGTCCAGGAGTCGAGGCAGAGGCCAGGGAGCTACCCACAGACTGTCATTGGCAACAACATAGAAAGTCCCAAGGTTATTGTTATGCTAGAAAAACATTGCACTTCATAAAACCATGTTTATTCAAAAAAATCTATTCAGAAAGTCTGGAAAGCATAATAAATATCTGTACAGTGGCCGCCCATCTCCAACATGAAATGTAAAGCGTGAACATGAACATGGTCTGTAAACATAACTGCCGAGCTTGTAAACAAAGTGCCAAGTGGGAAGAGCCGGGCAGGGAGGCGCGTCCTTTGCTCTGCGGCTGCGGGGCCTACCCGCCCTCCTCACTGCTCAGGAGCCTGCAGTGTCCTTCTCAATCCTCAGTGTGCCCGACTCTTGGCAAGGTGAGGGGTAACAAAACCATGTCAGAAATAAACGGAGTGCAAATCAAATTCTATCATGTGAAGCGTAAGGTCAAAACCCCAATGTGCGGCTTTAGGAATAACACCATTTAATTAACAATACTGGCTCACATGAAGTACTATTATCACGTTAGAAGTCCAACAATCTTCCAAACATCAACACACACAGAGTTAGTTTAAAATCACGCACAGATCTGACTTAAGGATACAAGTGAAATCCTCACCACTTGCCCACATTCAACTTTGGGGGTGGAATCAGCAAAAAGCCCCCTTGCTTATGGGACAAAGTCAAGCATTTCTTCCACACAGTGGGGAGGAACGAGGGGGGCTGTCAGGGTAGAGGATCCTATAGTGGTGCCCTGCAGGGACAGCAGGGCTGGGGTAGGAAGCCTGAGATCTGGGGCTCCGTCTTCTCCTTGCAAACGCTGTGGTTTTCTGATCCAGAGGGGAGTGATTATCTGAGTGAGCAAGCAGAGCTGTGTAACCTTCTGGGAGTCCCTGTCACTTGTGCAAATCGCACGGAACCTCCACCAAGTGCAAACTGTTAACGACACCTTCTTCCACACCTGGACCGCCCTGGGAACAGCACAGGCCCCAGCTAGTTCACTCAGGATTTTTGGAAGCTTAGTTTAAAATATGACATCATAGTGTCTTAGGCTGACTCTCTTTGAAGGATTTCAAGTATCAGTTTGTTCTGGATAAGGGCAGGAAGGAGAGGTATTTTACAGACACTCGTGCGGCAGGGACAGGGATGCCGTCTGCCGCTGACACACATTGAGCAGGTGGAAGGACAGTGTGGTGTGGCGCTGAGCCTCTGGGTCCCTTTGGCACGTTTAGTTCAGAAGGTAAGGCTGTGTGAGCAGATGTTACTGAGAAGGAGCAAGGGCGCGAGCCTGTGAGCACGCGGTGGGGAGACAGCCACCTCCCAGCGATGCTTCTCCCTCCCTCCTGCCTCCATTGGAATTGAAGCCACTAACAAACATGCAGACAAAGCCGGCCTTGGGCTCTGGGCAGAATCAGAAATGACTTTGTCCATGTCTAGGAGAGAAGATTGATTTAAGGACTATTTACTTTTCCCTAAGTTTTGAATAAGAAATGAAATAATTCAGACCTAAGAAACAAAACTGTCATGAGGAGAAGTTACTTTAGTCTCAAGAAAAACCATTTTCTAATGAGAAAAACCCAGTGGGCACTGCAGGAAAACAGGTGCATAATCTGTCCCTCACCTTTTATTCTTTGTGGTTCTCTTAGAAAATCCTCAGGGAATAATTAAAGCTTCTGAAATAAGGTTATATTTTAAGATTTGACAACAATTAGACCAAGCTAAGGAGTTATTTTTCAGAGTGCTGCACCTTTTGGGAGGGGAGGGTTGGGTACTGGAGTGACTGGAGATGAAAAGAAAAAGCAATAAAATATCTTACTAAAACCTGGCTGTGACCAATAAGTGCCTCCCTGTCCCTGCTGGCTGCTCTTTGAGGGCCAGGCACTCTGGGGCGCCTCCCACCTGGGCACGTCCTCCTGCCGTTCCCTCAACAAAGGCAAGCACAGCATGGCGGTCTGTGCTACCCAACGCCGTGTGCACAGCACACCAGGGAAGTCGAAAATACCGCGGAAAGGTCTGTCTCAGACAGATCTGTGCAGCAGAAACACAAACGTAACATGAAACCACAGGCCCAGGAGGTGCATCACCAGGTCCACAACCACAGGCCTATGAGGCGCATCGCCCCGCCCACAGCCACAGGCCTAAGAGGCGCATCGCCCCGCCCACAGCCACAGGCCCAGGAGGCGCATCGCCCCGCCCACAACCACAGGCCCAGGAGGCGCATCGCCCCGCCCACAGCCACAGGCCCAGGAGGCGCATCGCCCCGCCCACAACCACAGGCCCATGAGGCACATGGCCTGGTCCACAACCACAGGCTGAGGTGCATCGCCCCTTCCACGGCCACAGGCCCATGAGGTACATCACCCTGTCCACAGCCACAGGCTGAGGTGCATCGCCCCTTCCACGGCCACAGGCTGAGGCGCATTGCCCTGTCCACAGCATGTCTCGTGCTGGCCATCCCCCCTGGTCATCCCCCTACCCCTCCCTTGGTTGGAGAAAGATGGACAGGAGGAAACAGAGCTCAGCTTCTCCAAGGCTCACAGTTCTTCCAGTGACTAGAAAGCTGAAGGTGAAGACAGCAAAACCAGTGCCTTGGAGAACCACAAGGGGCCACCCAGGTGCTCTCAGGAGCCCCTAGGAGCCATGAGACCACCAAGCCAGAACAGGGCACAGAGGGTATGCCCTCTCCCAGATCCCTCATCCTGTGACCTGCAGCCTTTGAGGCAGAGACAGGGCTATCCTGATTCTAGGTAGGGCTTTCCCCCATCCATATTAAAAAAATCAGAGGGCAATAAGGAAGCGGCTCTTTGGATTATTCTGGATGGGGCCTGGTGTCTACCCCCAGCCCAATGGAGGTGGCTGAGCGCCTGGACACCTCTGGTCCCATCCAGACTCCGCAGCTCCCCCACCCCCGCCCAGCGCAGCCTGCATAACCGGGGCTGGCCCATGTACATATGGGCCTCACACCTGGAAAATAATCTCTCCTTACAAACATAAGCCACAACATGAGAAGGCTTAGAGGTTCCCAGAGAACACTGCAGGCCCCACAGGGCGCCAGCAGTGACAGGAGCTTGCTGGGTAGGGGATGGAGGAGGAGGTGCAGGTGCAGGAGGCAGGTGAGGCTTCAGAGGCCTCTGGATCCTCTCCAGGGCTGTGAGAGAAGCACAGACACGGAGAAGCCAGCTCCGCTCCATGTCCCATGCGAGGTCACTCTGGCCTGTGGGCGGGAGCTCAGCTTGTGTCTGTGAGCCAGAGAGGACGCTTGGCAGGTGGCTACGAGCTGGCGGCTGCTGTCCTGCCCGCTACAGCCTGGTGGATGTGAGCCTCTTCATGCCCCGGCGCTGGGCCAGGTTGGATGACAGCACTGGCTCCAGCCGCGGAGCCTGAGGTGTTCTGTTCAGGGCAAAGTAGGTGGCGGCCATGGCACCCTGCAAACAGAAGGGAAGGGAGGGTGGCCGTGGTGCCACCACTCCTGTGCTGGGGGGCTGGAGCCAGGGAGGGCCTGTGGGGCCTCAGTTTCCTCCAGGTAAAATGGTAAGAGCTTCCCCCAGGATTGCTGTAGTGTCTGGCACACAGGGCCCACAGGTAAGGATGATTCCATTCTTACCACAATTTCCATCAACCATCCCAGGCCAACCGCACCCTGTGCTTGTGCCTTGGGGACAAATATTTTAGGCACCCGTGATCCCCTGCACTGTTCCTAGGGAGGCCAGGCCTCTTTAGGGGCCAGTGGGGTCGTAGGAACACACTCACGGCCAACGCCAGGACCCCCAGCCTCAGTTTGCCTCTTGATAGCAGTGTGGACGAGTGTGGTAAATGGATTCACCCTGGAGTGGATCTGATCCCAGGAGGGACCTAGAATGGGCCACTCCTGGCTGGGTGGCCCAAGTCCTGAGTCAATGGGCATAGTCTATATTCCTCAAGAGAGGAGGCCTGCCCAGGAAGACCAGCTGACCTGAGAGGCCACTGCTTCTCTGAATGGAAGTCACTCACAAAATGAAAACTTTTGCAGACCTCTGATCTAGAAGTGAGGCTTTGGGACTTGGAGTGGGACAGGCAGGATATCTCCCACCACCACCTCCACAGCTCCACTACTTAAAAGGAACACTGTGTGCAATGATGTGAGGCCTGTGTACAAGTAATGCAGGGGGCCCTGACTGTGCTTGGCCCATCCCTACAGAAGCAGAGGTGCCAGGCCCTCTCTGGGCTTCCCCCTACCACCTGCCCTCTCTCTGCCTGTTGGTACCTTCACCAGGTGCACGTCTTGTCTGCTGAGCTGGTTTTGGGACAGGTACTCCCTGTTGACAATCCATGGGTGTCTGAGCACCTGCACTGCAGTGAGGCGCTGATGTGGGTCCACATGGAGCATCTTGGATACGACATCCTGCCGGGTAAGGTCACAGAGGGAGAGAGGACCCAGAGCCAGTCAGAGCCCTCCTTACGCGGCACCCACCCATTAGCTCCAGAGTGAGTCTCCACATTATATGGCCAAATGTTTATTTTCAAGTTTAGAAGTATGAGAATAGTTTATAGCTGTCAAAAAACTCAGCAGGTTACAGAAGTTTTATCAAGAAAAATTAAAGATGATGTGTGTAAATTGATGAAATTCTATTTTTGTAAAAATGATATCCTTCTAAAGGGAGAAGATGAAATAAAATTTCACAAACAGAAATCATTTCATAGTAATATATCTAGTTACATTTTTATCAGGATTATCCACAAATATTTATCACAAATAGTCACCAGCCACAGAGACTGTTTAGTGCAATCTGGAGCCATCACATATGCCAGTGAGCTCGTGTCCAGTAAAGGTAATTTTTTAATTTGATTGTAAAGTAATTATAATAAACATTTCTAAGATTGGTCTATCTAGAGCTTTGTTTTGCGTGTACAACACACATTCAGCTTCAAGGTGGATCACATTTCAGAGTCCCATGTGGTTTATACTCCATGCATCTGTTCTGTTGTGCATCCTGATCATCCCTGAGGCAAACAGGGCAAATGTTACTTTTTCTATCTTGCAGATGAAGACACTGAAGTTTATAGTAAGAAGTCGATAAAGGAAGACCCAAGAGGAGAATCCATATATTGAGACACAGTCTCACTCTGTTGCCCAGGCTAGAGTATCATGGCATCATCATAGCGCACAGCAACCTCAAACTCCTGAATTCAAGGAATCCTCCTGCCTCAGCCTCCCTAGTAACAGGGACTACAAATGCCCACCATCACATTGCTAATATTTCTATTTTTAGTAGAGACAGGGTCTCAAGATCCTGAGCTCAAGCAATTTACCTGCCTTGGTCTCCCAGAATGCTAGTTTTACAGGTGTGAGCCACCACACCTAGCCAAGAATCCATATTCCTTCCACTAGCCCAATCCTCCTCTCTAGTGTGTTCCCATCACATTTAAAAAAAAAAAGAAAGGGAATGAAACACAATGCAAGGTGGGATCACCCAATAAAACTGTGGTCATAAACCACAAGTAAGAAACACTATGTCCTGGAACAATGTCCTTTTCCTGCAGAGAAATCAATGTCTCTTCATCTCTGATGACATTAACCTTGGTGACTTCTTGAAATAAATACTCCTGGAAGCATCATCATTCCCGTTTTCAGGTGTGAAAGCAAAGAGAACCTGGACTTGTTCAAGACTCATCTCTGCCCCTTATTTAAAAGGTAAAAATTCTGGGGCAGGTACTCACCTTTGCTGCATCGGATATTGAGTCCCAGTTTCCCCCAGAAAGGGCGTACTTCCCACTGCCGATCCGTGCCAAGATCTCCTCTGGAGTATCATCTGGTCCGTTTGCAAACGGGGTAAATCTATGCAATGAGATGATTTATGGTAATGAGCTTCCATTTTATAACATAAAATAAGCTCTACAATTAGCATCTGCACTTTGTTGTTAAAAAGAATAGCTATTTTCTTTTCCCTGCTATGCTGTGAACTTGGGATTAATTTCCTAATGCCATGATCCTTTTCTCCCCTTGGTCAATGGGGCAAGTGAAGACTCTGCTGTGGGCCTCAGAGTTAGCCCTTCAGGACCCTTTCTGGTCACACTGGGGATGGAGGGGTCCAACAGTTTGTCTTGTGATTCCGTTTCTGTGGTGACACTGAGGTGTCATGGATGAGCGCCTGAGATTTAAAGTTCATCTATTACCAGCTCTGGGTTCTTTGACAAGTTAATCTTTGGAGACTTAATTCCACATGCAAAGTGTACACAAGAATGCACGTGAATGGCCAGGCATGGTACTGGCCGCAAAGTCGGCAAGCGTGAAGTCTCTTAAGTGCAAAGTCGATGTTTATTCTGTCGCCCCTTAGCACACACCAGGGCATGACCATGTATGCCTTCCAGGAAAGGAACTGGATGTGATTCTGATGGCATGTCCTTAGGCAGCAAAGTTAGTGATCCTTGTTTTATGAACAGGGAAAGTGAGTGTCTGAGACTCACCCACCAGGTAGCCCAGTAATGTGGCATCAGGGAAGGACCGTGAGCCCTTCCTTTGCTAGGACCTGGGCAACCGCCCTCTGCCCCGATGCTACCTACCAACTACTTGGTACCCAAGAAGGTGTATGTGTGTGGGTGTTGCTCACACTCGGTACCATTCTCTCCTACTCTTGCAAGAAGCAGGCCATTCTCTCCTATTCTCATGAGGACACTTTGTCCGCGTCGCTACAGCAAACAGAATTGGATGGTCTAGAGTCCTATTTAAGTATTTCATAAACTCAAATGTTAGAAGCCAGCAGATCTTATAGGATCCTAGACCTTCCTTCATAGAAGGAACCACGGAGTGTCCTCACTTAGGGATGAGAGAAGAGAGACCAATATCAGTTGGGGTTTAGCCCAGATCACCCGGACAGCAGGTCCAGATCTCGTTGAGTGCCATTATGTGTCTCCTCACAAAGAACTGACTCATGCACGGCTGATGGCCATGAAAACCAGGTACAAGCCAGTGAGTGGCAGTCACCTTCCCAGATGCCGCCTGGCCCTGATACTTCTGTGGTTGCTGTTTGGCTCAAGATGATGTTTCAAGGGCACAGTGTTCCTGCCTTTTAAGAGAGTGGCGAGTGCAGCAGAAAAAGTGTGGACTACACAGGGAAAAGGCCGAGTGTAGTGGAAAACACAGGGCTCGATTTCCTGTCCTGGTTCTTTAGACTTTGTGAGGGCTGTGGAAGTCTGAGCCCTTCCCTGGCAGCCTGGGTGTACGTGTGTGGGTGGTGTTGTCCACACTCTATCACCAGGGCGGGCCTGCTCCTGCCTCAGTGGGGAGTAGCATCGGGGCTCCTGCCAAGGTCCCTTACCCTGCCAGCATGGTGTACAGCAGGATCCCCAAGCTCCAGACGTCACATGCTGCATCATAGCCCTGACGCTTCAGAACCTGCAGGGTAGCAGACCACAGATAAGCACTCCCTGTCTCTCCCGGGGTACCTGTGCCAGGTGGGAGGGGTCAGCAGGAGGAGAGCTGTGTGTGCAGTGAGTCCGTGGTCAGAAATGGAGGGCCAACCCCACTGTGCTGTAGCAGAGGCCTCCCAGAGAGCCACAGCTCCTGCCAGACACACAACAGACAGACTGAAAAGGAGGCATTTAATTTTCAAGGCATAAGTATTTTTAAAATCATGTGTAACATAAAATCTCCCATCTTAACCCTTTGTAAGCGTCTGGGCCAGTGGCACTAAGCACATTCCTGTTGTTGTGCCACCACCACCACCGTCCATTCTCTTGTTATCTTCCCAACCTGCAGCCCTGTCCCCAGTCTGCTGGAACTCCCAGCCTCTGCGGGCCACTGTCCTCTGTCTCCTGCCTGTGGCTTCTGTGGGGACCTCTGATGAGTGTGACTGGCTCCTTCACTTCTCGTCATGGCCTCCAGCTCCATCCATGTGTGCCCTGGTGCCTCACTTTGTGGTGCTGGGTAACATTCCCCTGCACACACAAAGGGTGCTGAAAATGTACATCTGAAGAACAAAGGCCAACGGGCCGGAGCCAATCCAGAGAAGGCTGCATGAATGGGCGTCACTGCCTGCCTCACCTGCCACCTCAGCCTTTCCCCTAGGGGCTGCCCTGAGACCCTGCGTCCTCTTCCTTTGTGTCCTGTCTCTGCTCTAAAACTCACTGCTCTTTGTCCACAATGCCAGATGCGCTAGAGCTCAGAGCCGCTCTGAGGACAGCCCAGTCCCCATGCCCTCCAGACATATGTGGAATATGCATGTTCAGAAACCTTCATTGGTTTTCCTGTTAACTCTGTCTTCTGTTTCAGGGCTCCATCCCAGCTAAGAATCTATGAGGGTTAAGGTAAAACTGACTAAGGGAGGCATCACTAGTGGCTCATAACCAGGTTACACAGGCTGCCCAGGGGTCTGGATGAGTCCTGGGGAACCGACGTAGCCTCCAGCTGTGCGTCCATGCACGTCTGCACATGGCACACACGAGCACTCTGCTGTGGACCAGTGGCCATGGGTTCCCTCTCAAATAGCCAGTAGACCCACCATGATGCCAGGTGGGCCTTCTCTGAGGACTGGCCACGTCTGGCCCCACTTGCTCCAGAGCGGCGCTAACACAGCTCAGCACCCACTGATCTTGCAGGATCCAACATCCGCCTCTACCCTTCCCTTCCTCCATTCACCTTCCGCTCAGGAGCTCACGGTGCTTTTCTAAAAAGCAAGACACCAAACTTGTCTCCACAAATGTATCAAGGACTTGAGAACCTCATGGACACCGTCCCCAGGAAATAGGAAAAGGGAAGGCTCACAAGATGGCCTTGCTGTGATTCTCCGACAGGCCATGGACTTTTACATGAGCTTTCAGTGGCAAATCACCACTGGACCACAATATTCTCAAATTTGACGGCTGCCACTTGATTCTGTCAGGAAAAACAATCGCGGGCAAGAATTATGGTGCAAAATGCATCTGCAGACTTCACTCTTGCCCAGTGCTGTCAGAGCCTTCTCTGACCCCAGACGGCACCAGCCATGTTCTGCGTGTGGGGAGATGGTGGCAGACTCGTCCCTCATACCAGCTTGGGACAAGTATGAAGATTTGGTCCAAATTGTCTATAGCACAATGAAGATTTAACAGGAAAATGTTACCTTTTAAAAAGTTTTCAAATGGAAGAATAAAATGATAAAAATCACTCTGTCTGAGCAGGGTTGTGGTGGGTTCAAAGGCATGGAAGGCCCCCATTTCTATCCTTGGGAGCACTTCGGATACTAAGACTCCTGCCCTGCCCACAGCCGTCCAGGTCCTCCGCACATAGCAGAAACCAAGGGCCGCTTTGGGAACTGACAGCCTGAACTCCAGCACTGGAGTTTCTTACCTCTGGGGCCACAAAGTTGGCCGTGTAGCACGGTGTCATCAGCAGCCCATTCTCTGCTCGCAGCTGCTTGGCAAACCCAAAGTCACAGATGCGAATGGATTCAGGGTTTCCAGACTCATCCATGTACAGAATGTTACTCGGCTTCAGATCTCGATGGACCACCTGAAAGCAGGAGGCATCACGCCTAGTTAGGGGGCCAGGGACTGGGCAGGGGAGACGTAGAACGAAGTGCGCAGAAGGCCAGGGTCAGCCTGCAGCTGGGGGCTCCCTGCAGCAGGCCCAGGGGAGCCGCACAGGAGGGTACTGTGTTCTTGACAGGGGCCCCTTCCACCTCTCTCTTACATGGTCACTCGGGGCAAGTACCTCTGTTACCCACTTTTATAGTGAATGGACATTCAAGCAGATAAATAAGCACCTATCCAAGATGAGGGAACAGCTCACTGGAACGATGACATAAATGGAAATGTGGTGAGTTCAGGTGACAGAAATAAAAAGCTTTACTGAGCTATCACTAAATACTGACTGTGTGCCGGGACTGGGAGGTGCAGATCGAGGCTGAACATTTCAGATGTCCTGTTAAAATACAGGAGGGATGACTTAAGCAGGAAACCGAGCCCCATGTAGAGGCCTCAAAGGTGAGCAAGAGAAGACTCTAGATTCACCTTCATTTCCTCCCTCCCTTGACAAAAGCAAAGCTGCAAAATGTGTCCTGGAGAATAGGGCGTCCAACCTGTGTCTCAAGGGCCACATGCTAATGTCATGTGAACTGCTTATCTGAGGTGTCAGATATCATGGAAAGTTCGCACAGAACTTTATTCTGCTCATCAGCTTCGCTTAGTGTTTGTGTATGTGATGTGTGGCCCAAGATAACTCCTCTTCTTCCAGTGAGTAGCAGAGAAAATAAAGATTGGACATACATTTGCCTGCTCTGGGAAACCCTGGAAATGCCCAGTACTCTTAGACTATGCGCGGCCACACAGAAGGGGCCAGGGTGTGGTCCTGGAAGAATATTCCCCTGGAGACTGCATTGTAAAAGCTCATGACCACCCACTCTGGCCCAGAGGTCACCGCCTGGCTCAGGAGAGGTGCCGAGGAGAGGCTATGTACAGCAGAGTGACTTGGGTGCCCCTTCCCGGGAGGCACATCTGGGGCTGAGAGCATAGCCTGGAATAGGAGCACTGGGGCAGCAGGCTTGTGCCACCTTTCTGAGCTGCAGCTCCTCCCCTGCACCAGGGTGTGGTCCAGGGCTCAGGAGTCTGAATGAGGCGCGCACACCCCTGGTGAGGACTGCTCGAGCCTCAGCTGTCACTGCCATTTCTGTCCTCAGTGTCCCTTTTTATCAGTTAATGAATCCAACTATATATCACAAATTATGAAAATTCTGCATTTCCTTTTATCTTGGTCAAGGTAATTTCTTTTACTTAAATTTGTTCACATAAATTTGATGTATTAATCTAGTTCCTGCGTACATTATGTGTACAAATTATTTTAGACCCTTGAAGGGCAGCAGAATATATCACCCCCACATGTGCGCTTTGGCGTAAGGATGATCTGAGCTGAAGACAGCTGAGACCACACAGATGAGGGAAGAGCTCCACCCTCTCCTTCCTTATGTGCCTATAAGCGGATGTAATTGGGAAAAGTGTCCCCTGCCCTCTCTGCCAGGACTGACTGCGGTCAATCAGCAGAGACCACAGCAGGCCCTCATCAGCCTGGAGAGCCCAGGATGGCCACGCCACAGGCCTTACTGCCCAGCCCTGGCTCCCACGAGTGTCCTGACGTTGACCTCCCAGTCTGCTGCCTTCGAGACTCAGATCCTCTGCCCAGCCCTCTCCCCGATGCCTCCTCTACAGACGCTGCCTGAGCCCAAGTCTACCTGCCCCTTTGAGCTATTGGTGGCCAAGTGTTCCAGCCCAAATCTACCTGCCCCTTTGAGCTATTGGTGGCCAAGTGTTCCA